TGCTTTCAATCAGGGAAACCACTTTCAGCTCCAAAATGACTTTCACTGCCTTAGCAGTGAGTGTCGCTGTTATCTGCGCATCTTGGCTAGTCATAGCAAATCAGCTTCATGTGTAGTTTCCAACATAGACTTAAGGCTTGTATGACTTCACAGGAAAGAGGTACCACAGCTTAGGTCATACTATTTTAAATAATTACTACATGTCGGAAAATGATATGAGAATGAATTGTGTCATTTGTATTTCCTAAGACTGATGCACTTTTTTGTTGCCCACATAGGTTTGGGTAGTTCTCAACAGTACCAGTGATAACCCAGGCCATAGAGATGTCTCATTCAGAGTAATAGGTCTCTGAAGTGTGCTTGTTTAGCTTTTCTTAGCCCACTGGAGAGCTGTAAAGTGTCTGAGGGTTTTCAGGGTCCTTATAGACTTTTCCCAGGTGTGCAGTGCCTTGTAAACTGCAACATGACTTTCATTATTCAAGGGGAAACTTTTCTGTTAAGTACTGTAGTAGTAGTTTTAGCAATCATGGTGGAAGCTAGATACTTTAAGATATTTGTATCTTAATCAGAAAGAAATTTTTTTGAATTTTAATTTCAAAATAACTACTGCTAACTGGAATATTGCAAAGAGTAATATGGAATTGCAGTTGTGTTAGTAAGGATTTACGTGTTTGCAGCATTAATCGTGACCATGCTGCGAAGTTGTAATTGTGTATACACCTTGATGTTTACTGTACGTCTTTGTCCATTCAGCTAGTATTAGCATTTTAAAATGATTTTAAATAACAAAACTTTTTATAGTGCTTCTTCCACCTCTACATTTCTTACCCAAATGAATTCCACTGGTTAACCATTTCCCGATTTCTTGCTATTGTAACAGAGGGGTAGCCCTGTGTTGAGGTATGCCCTGTATTTACTTTTATCTGTTCCTCTGTGAGGCTGGCCAAGTTCATGTTTGTTTATAAAGAATTCTGGCTTCACTTGCAACTTTCATTCACCACTTTAAAGCACTCGACTTGCTACTAATTTACCTTTAGGGAGTTGAAAATTACCTGTCTGCTCTGCTGAAAGCTTTCTTGTGGTGAGAACTTGTCATCATCAAAGATTCACTTTAGTGTAAATGATAGATTGTAGATGGATGGGTTAATGTTATATAATATATATTGAACTACAGACTGCATGCGGAAAGACAAGGTAACATGATTTTAGACCTCAGAAACATATTTGATTGGAGACTAGTGTTATTTTTGTTGCAATTAAAATCAAACATAAGGTCACTGGAAATGAATGTCTATTTAAATGTACTTTCTGAAGTACCAATTAGTAATTTTACTTCTTGCCCTTTAGCCTGGTGTTATCTTTTGTCTAAAACTTCATTTATTTTCAAAAATTATATCATTATATCATCAAGGCAGCATGGAGACTCATCCGATTGAGTTTGTAGCATTGTGTGATCTTAAAGTAACAAAGACAAAAAAAAAAAAAAAACACACACTTATGTCTTAAAATGTGACACAGTTTGCCAATGAAAATAACTAATAATTTATACCCTGAGAGAACGTTTAACCTGCTTTTGTCCAGTGACTAAAGCTTCATACCGTTAGTGTTTTGCAGTGGTGTTAAATCTTTGTTTTTCTAGGGACTTTTTAAGTATTTTATTCTTAAGTCACTGGGTGACCACTTCACCTGGTAATGCCTATGTAAATATATAAAAGCTGTTATTTTTACCCAAAGTTATCCCAAGTTCAGATTTCCTTTCTTGGGGGAACGTTTTCAGAGTAACGCTCTGTTGAGACGTGTCAAAAATGGAACTTGATCCCCTCCAATGTGTGGTGCTCTATAAACATTGTATTACTTCTAGCCTAACAATTTGCAGCGTCTGCATAAGAAAATAGTGCAACTGTGTCACTGGAGTGTTAGCATTTTGTTTCATCCATGCATTTGATCGCTTGTCATATCGTTCCCATTCGCTTTACACTGCTTATGTATTTTATGTTACTATATGTAAACTGTACTTAGATCTTCCAGTTAAAATCACAGCTAAAGTTTCAAGTGAGGCATCCCTAGATAAATGTACATTAGCTTTCCCTTTCTTATCTCGGGGACAAACTGGGGCTATTGGAATGGTCTATTCTGATGCTTGGGACAATGCATGTGTGAGTGCATAACCCGCTGGCAGTGGAGGACAGTGTGGATCTCTCTTCACTCTAAATTGCAGACAGGCATCTCCACAGCCCCACATGAAGACCACTGAGTCCCATCAAGATAATCCTTAATAAAGAACGGCTTCGCATTTAATCTTAGTTTGCGTCTCAAATTTCCGACTTGATATAGATTTGGCAAGTGGCGTTTTAGTGCTGATGTCTGCTGGACAGTATCAGGGCATCTTTTGTTAAGCGCTTATTTGGCTCATGTGAAGTTTTCCATTAACTTTTGATTGAGGCTATAAAGAACTTAATCAAAATTGACTTTTAAACACCAACACGTGCATTTTAGTGATATTCACAGAGTAACTAGAGCTCACATTAGTGTTTTGGTTTGATCATTGGCCTGGTCAGTTTAGCTAATGTTTTTAAAACACCAAAAGAGTTGTCCTGATTTAGTTCTAGTATCTACTTGGAACTGATCTGAATTGTATACATCAGCTTCTTGAAAAAAATACAAACAATGCAGTAACACTCTAACATAATTAGCCTTGGATAAATAAATAGGATAAATAATAGTCGGAGAGGCCCTAAGCATTTATAAGTCAATATGAATTTGCTATACAGTGTAAGTCTTGCATCAGTACTCTAAAATGAGCCTATGGGTGTATCTCTGGGCTTATCCACAGTGACGTTCCTCCATACATGCTTTTTGACACTCTATTATCTCTTTTACTTTTAGCATTTAATTAATTGTTATCTTTCAAAATAAAGTATCTTGTTACAATACATGATACAAGTAATAGTAATAAATTACCAGAATCAGATCAGAAACATCAAAAGAAAGTTTATACTGTACCAAATACAAACCCTATATATTGGTCTCCATGTTTTTTCAATTCTCTTTCCTTGTCTACCCTTTTTGGCTCGTGCAAATAATTTCTTCACTGATTATCATATTTCTGAAACGTATGTAGTTTTATTATGTGAAAATTAAACACATCTTAAAGTCTTTATCGTCCTTGTGGGCCAGTTTTATACAGAGTGGACTGAACCACCAGTTGGAGCTCATCAGTAGCAGTGCGGCCTTGTCTAGTGGTAGTAGAAACAATAAGCTGAAGCAGACAGAAGGCAGTGGTTCCCCCGCATACAGCCCCTGGATCTAAGTGTTGATGGAGGACTTCCACAAGACGGACAGTGGCTCCAAAGCACTTTGTCTAACAGAAAAACACTACTACTACCTACCACACTCACAGTACTGTTTCTACTACCACTGCCATATACTGTTTTACTATTTGTACTATAGAGCTTGAGATCTTAAGGTTATCAGCCAGATGTGCCAAAATGGCCATAGGGATACATCTGTATAAACAATTTTCTGTTTTTTTTTTTTTTTATTGAAAGAATCGTGTATAACCTGATGCACTACTGGTACATGTATCACACTTAATATAATATTTTATGAGGTATTCATGCTCTATTACCACTCTCGTAATACAGCTTCTGCTACTACCACCACTGCCACTACTGCTTTTATATTTAGTTAACTACTCTGTCACTATAACAGATTTTGAAACATGATATATTGGTACAGACATTTACTGCGATAAATGGTAATACTGAAACTACTTTATGCCACTGACACAATAACCAAAGATAGTCAATTTTTGAATAGGTGCATGAGCTGCAACACCTAATGTGCTATTATTGGTCAATAATTGGCCCTAGAAGTCATTTATTCAACATTTTACAGCTCAGTTGTTAGTGTATTGCATCAGAAATACCCCAAATCTGCATACTTTTCCATAGAAAATGTACACACCACAAATATTGATTACCAAAATATATTGCTCCAGTTTTCATATATTGAACAATAAAATTATATAGTATTTATTGTCACAGCCCAAACCTACTAAATCTAAATGTGTCATGCCAAACGGAAAGTACTGACAAATTCAACAGTGCTAGACCACTACTGTTAGAACTCGTTCAGTGAGTACAGTTACAGACCCTAATATTATGCATGCATTATGTATCCCAAATATGCCTTTGTATTACTGGGTGACCACTTAATCACTATGTCCACTCTTATTATTACTACTGCTTCAATTACTACTGTATTCAGAATAATGAATATTTTTAACCATTATTGTTGTTACCATATTGAGTAACAATTTATTAAAACAGTATATCTTTTAAATCGGAAGATCCTTAAAATGGTGCATGTATCAGAAGGCTAAAATACATGAATTACAACTATTACTACTTGAATTCACTAATGTCCAGTTGCATGATGAACAAATTATAAAGTCATTTCAAAATAGCACTACTAATGTTATAATATTTACTGTTCCAATTACAAACCATAAAACTTGTATTTAGCCAATTTACCCATAAGATAAATACTTTTATCTGTATGAAATTATACTCTAATAATCTAATAGAGTAAGACTTGAAATATCTGAATAAAAATATCTAGTTACTTCCCACCTCTGCGGATGAGCTATGGGCCCTAGGGGTGCTCTAGTATCCGCTCAGCCCAGTGCTTTCATTGTCCTAGTGCTTTCATTTTCCTAGGTCCCTGATACAATCTGTGAAGCTACACACGACTCAGAACTCTAACTGAGTGGCATATGTGAGGTTAGTGTCATTCCCCCAAACTTCTTCTCTATTTTTCCAAACGGCAGCCAGTTCCAGTCCAGCCTACATCTCTCCTCCCTCTCTCCCTCCCTCTCTCACTCACTCTCTTTTTTTTCTTCTTCCCTCAGACACTCAGAGCGACTGCCTGCCCCGGAGCAGTAATCGGACAGCTCTCCCCAGCTCTCTCCGGGACTCTCTCTCCTCTCTTGAGATCGCCAAGCGGGCTCCATGGCTTCCCTGCTCCTAAAATGAAAAAGAAGAAAGTTGAAAGAAAGTTTGCCGTGCTGTAGACCAGACCTGCGGCAGGAAAAGGCTTGCTTAGTGTTCACTGTGCTCCTGGCCTGAATGGCACATACGAAGATTTTGTTTTAAAAGAGGAAAGCGGGGATATATACAAACGGATTCGGCCAGAAGTGTAGTGAGTATTGGCATGTTTTGATTGAAATTATGTTTTTATTATTATTATTTTATTTTGTGTGTGTGTGTGTGTGTGTGTGTGTATCCTCATGTTTAATTTCTGTAATTCAACGTTTCTGTTACCATGTGAACCGCCATAGTTTTTTAATGTTTTTTAATTAACATTTGTATTAGTTTTATATTGCATTGTTACAGCAGTGCAATAAATATAAACATTATGTCATTTTTACACCTTACTAATATATTGTTTAAAAGGAGCAAACAAAAAAATATATATATTTTTCTACTAATAATTTAGGCATCTGTTAGAATGAATATACAATTTTGTAGGCATTGCTTTTAGAAATTACATTACTTTTAAATATATGTATTACAGTATATCTTTATTATTCACATATATCAATAGTTTATTTTGAAAGTATTAAATTTACATGTTGTATACAAATAGGAATGAACCAATGAACCATATAATTTGTTACAAATTCAAATTAGCTTAATACACAAAATGTGCAAATTTTCTATGTACAGTCCTGCGCACGGCCCTGTTTACATTTTTATCATGTTATCAAACACACACAGCTCTCAGTTGGAGTCATCTTTTTCAGATGGTAGAACAAACCTTGCTACACGCTTGGAGCAGATGACATGAGGTACCATCTGCTGAGGGCCTGGAATGCACCACTAGCCCCATAGTCAGCGTCTGTCCCGGGACGGCAGCCGCACAACAGGCCCGTCTTGCGGCTCCAGTACTCTCAACTCTCCCTCACTCCTCTGACCCACTAGCTGTAATCTGCTGCTCCTTTAATTTCACCTTGTTCAAGTTTAATGTTGAGCGTGCGATGACAAGCTAACATCACACGAAATGATTACGTTTTAGGCTATTTCATCTTCCATTTTTTCTGCTTTTGAGGATGTAATTTTGGTCGTAAGTGCAGTGTAGGAGATTATAGAGGAAACACAACATAGCTACTCAAACATGGCAGTGTGTGGAGAGCCTGCTGCGTCCATTCACACACACAATAACCTTATTTATCCAATTAACAAATAATGAGCCAGCTGATTTAGGCTGTTTACCCTGTCTATTTACTTTGCCTAGACAGGTCCCTGCATCTGACTGCTTTGCTTTATGTACGCGGGGTAGCAGTGTGCAAAAACAGGAGTGCCCAGTGTAAGGTTGGCAACGGCATTGTTTGTCCCAACCCACAATTTGAGATTTAAAAATTGACAAAACCCTAACTGACTGTGGATATATTTGGTAGGATAGAGAAGAGGAAAGCCGTGACCCACAATCAAGTAATCTCATATGATTGGTCAGCAGTAGTTGTTTACTAAATATTGGTTGTGTTATTAGGCTAACACCCCACTGTTTTTGAGGGGCACTATTGGCTGAAAGAGCAGGAAATGAGCTGCAAGGATTTCTGTTGATTGCCATTACAAGTCCTCAATCAGTAATACTCACTGTGTTTGTTTGTAAATGGGACTCTGTTGACACGGCGTAAGATAATGAGGAAGTCCCTGTATTGCAAGTCTAAACACTATACAAGATGGTAGCTGCCGAGTCTGCAAAAAAACTACATTTTAAATCCCACTCGTCCATTGTTTTTTATCATATTATTTTATTTATCATTTATCAATAGGAATCTAGTTCACATCCTGTAATAATTCTCGCAGATGACTCCCTGGTCATGGAGAGCAGTAGAATAACAACAAGAGCATAAACCTAAGATAATGGTTGAGATTTGTCAGCGGTCCTACTTTCATCTTCCTGTTGTAAAGTCTATCTCCCTACTCGGCTCGGTCATGGTGGTGGCCCACTGTGATAAAACGTGCACCTTAAATCTTGTTTGATGGCCCCTCGAAGACGCACAGCCTTCTGGAAATCATTTAGGAGGTTGAAGAGCACCGTATTAACAGATTTAATGTAGCTATTGAGTGAATTGCCGGAGCACCGTGTCATATAGGAGCAAATGAGAGAGACAAATTGCACATCAACAAACAGCACATCTGTTTATAATTGTGTTTTTAATTATAGGCTGTTACAACATTGGTGATTGGGTGTGAAATGTTGTGTGGTTAGTTTATTAGCGCAAGTCCACGTGTGTACAATTATTAACATTTTATGCTACTAGGATAGATGTCCAAAATACAAATATTCATACTGTAGACTGTAAATGTAACTGTCTTGAGGAACGTTAATTATTTTAAAAATTATTACAATTTTCAGTAACAAACTTTGTCACTGAAAATGTTTAAGCATGTGTGTTGGCAGCTGTCATTTTGCCGGACACTTCAGCGTTGCCAGTGAAGTGAAACATTTTGTAAACTGTGCCTAATTCCACTCACATCTGTGTCCAATTGTTGTGTGCATCTACATTCTTCACGAGTGGATTTATTTTTCCTGGGCCACCATGTGGACTCAGCTGAGCAGCTTAAGCCAGGATTAGCTGTTTTAAAGTTACATTTTGATTAACGTATTGATGTGCAAAATGTTGTAACTCACAACATATGCTTTAATATGTAGTGTCATATCCATGGGGCTTACAGTTATGTGTAGAGAGAGTAGAGAAAAATTGCAGTGAAATGCTATATATATTTCAGCTGTTGCAACACAAAATTCATGGTCCAAAAATGACAAAGATGTAGGAAGCGTTAGTGCAAGGTCAGACATCCTGCATGCACAGATGATCTATGCTAAAAGCCCTGGCCGTAGCTGTGTTTACCTTTGGAAACGCAGGTCTTGGAGTAAGTAAAGCGAGACAAAGGGGCCGGCAAACAGCCTCACATCACCTCGGGAGCTCTGCGTGTTGTGGCACTTCTTTCTCTTCTCCCTCGTCTCCATTCGGGGATGACACTTCGTGCGCTTCATCTAACCTGCCTTTGTTCTGCTCGCCTTCAAAGAGCTGCCGGTTCAGGTTCAGCTAAGACACACATCAAAGATTAGGGGAAAAAAAACATTTAGTGCAGGGGCAGAAAAGGTTGTTTTTGTTTTTAAATGTAGCACCCCTCCCCTATCTCTCCGACTTTCACCTGCTGATGTTTTGGACAAACATAAAAAAAAAAAATCTTGATTTGTATTATTATATATTTTTGAAAACATTAACCAAATCATTTTTACATATTTATTATTAACTTTATATTGGATGATGATTTCTGAATTCAAATCTTAAATACATTTTATTTTTAGGATTGTAGTCTTCATGGAGGTTTTTCCCTGGTGTGAAGCGTAAAGCCTATCCAAAAAAATCTTAAGACCAAGCAGCTCAGGTTACCCAGGCTTATGTAAACAGCCAACATAAAAAAAAAAAATCTACCAGTATTATAAAAAACTAGTACCCCTCCATCCCCTGTCATTGCTCTTTCTTGACCATATGGCAACTTTTGACCTGGTTTTGGACCCTGTATTCCCGCGGTGGACTAATATAGTGTTATGACCAGGCTAGTGCTCGGCTGTGTGCTTGATGTTTGAGGGGAGAGTGGACAGCGCGATGTTTCTGTCAGCTAAGGAGAGTAATAGAGGCATTCGCAGTGTCATAGGAAACATATGTGGCTCCATATGTTGTGTGCGCCGCCGCGAGTAGACTTCATTGTCTGAGATGCTCCACTGATCGAGGGGCCTCCACCGTGCCCTATGCTGAGGCTTGTGTGTGTTTTGCACCAGTGAGTTTGGGGCCCTCTAAAGTGCCCCATGTCTGTTCACTTCATGACTTATGTGTTTCCTGAAAAATAGTCTGTTTTTTGTTGCTGGACTATAATAGATTTATGTTTTGTTAGATTCCATACACTGTTGATAGAAATCCCCATGTCAGGGTAAATATTTGTAATTATTTGAAAAAAATAAATTTACTTGTGAATAAATTGTAATCTAGATCTGTTATCTAGACGCAAATAAAAAGTTAAATCAATACAGTAATGAATAACATGAATTACATTATAGTTAAATGCAAAGTTTTGCGTAATCCTGAATATTTTAGTTGTATACATGTTTTGGTTTCAGATATCTTATTTTGTTAAAAAATATTATTTATTTGGAACTAAAATGTGTGCTTTCAAAAGTGTATAGTTCTTTTTTTGAAATTTTGAAATTATATAACTTGTCTAGTATCTAATTGGTCTTTATACTAAAAGATAATTGCTTTTTCATATTTGTTTGTATGTATTTTATTGGCAACTTTTTACTTTACCTTAATATTATTTTGAAGTATCAGACAATGGCAACTCACATTTGCAGTGCATATACTGGTGCAGTATTGTTTTCTTTAGCTCCATTGTGAAAAAGTTGTGATTTTTTTGGAACTCTTACCACTGCCCCAGGCCGAGGCAAGTCTTGTGGGTAGAGCAGCCCTGACGATCATTAGGACCTGTCAGTATCCCGGGCCGGGGGAGTGCTGATAAATTTCAGATAGTGTCAATTGTGGATGAAAGATGTGCTGGAGATGCTAGGGGTGTCACGCTTCGCTTCCCATGCGCTCAACAAGTCCCATCTATCCCTATAGGCAGAGGGGCAGGAGTAGCTAAGTGAAGCGGGCTGTCTCTACCCCCCTCCCCAAAAAGTGCCTACCTTCACCCCCTTGCCCCCCACCCCCCCACCCTCACAAACCCCTTTTCCTGCTTACCTTTGGGCTAAGCGGCTTTGCATGTTGATTGGGGGAGGGCTAATCCAGTTTGCAGCTGTCGTAGACCAATGATGAATCACCTTGCCGTCATTTGGCCGTGCTCCTCTGGCCCGGAGAGGAGGGAGGACGCGAGGTAGTAGGAAACAACAGTGCGGAGTGGAAGGAGACTTGTAGTGGTTGAGTAAGGGACTATAGGAAGAAGACACAATGCAAGGCTCTGTTCTCTGGTCCCATTCTGAACCGCGACTACAATAATGTTTTCTCAGAGGGGCCTTTTTGTGTCAGGGAGGATGGCTGTGGACTCAGAGTAACAACAGGACATATTGTTGGAACAGTGGCAGCAGGTGGGAACAGAGGTGAAGCAGGATCCAGGTAAGAGCGAGTGGAGATGTAACGCATGGAGCTAATGCTGTGACTCTAGTGTGTTACTTTTTTTACAGGATGGTCCTAAAGTGCTCTACTGTCTCATTGGCTGTGTATTTTGGTGTGGGGTAAATGAATATACCTTTGGGGAAAAGACAATGCTGCTTCCATTATCAGTGTGTGGAAAAATGGCCTGGCCTGCTGCCGGATTTTAAACTATGGCTTTAATGTTTTTAACTGTAGCGTTTAGGGTTAGTAGAATTATGCACAGTCTATGGCAAAGTGAAGAATAATTTTAACAGTATGAAAAAGCTGAATCATTTCCATAGCACTGAATGCATATCACAATTGAATCATTTTATTTTATAACTGCGTTGCATTTGTTAGATCTGATAAGGGATTTGCTTTTCTCTTTGTGGCCATGTGAAGAGGGCTAGCGTTTATTGATGTCACAGATATCCACAAGCATCAAATGTAATTGGAAATGGCAGGATAATGCACAGAGCATTTAGTGTAATTTCATTAACTCGCTATTGCCACGATAACAGTGGCAGAAACAAATGATGTTGTTGATGTACTTTTCAAATGACGTTTTACTCTCTCATCTACGCTGGATCAGACGCTGTGAATGAGAGACAGAATAATGTTTTCAGTGGTGTGGTCTTTTGTCTAAACACAGCAACAATTAAGGAGCGTGCCAAGGCAAACACATGCCTCATGAGCATCTGCTCTCACAAGGCAGAGGCCTCTTGCAATCAGAACTATAGTGGTCTTCAACAAGCAAAATATCTGAAATAATCTGAAATAGTCATAGGAATATGTTGCAATGCTTTGTCAATACTACTTCTGAGTTATTAGTATTAGTATTTACAGTTGTAATATTTTTTACAATCGACACTAAAATGTTTTTGGAAGCAAAGAAGGTTTTTTACTCCTACCCACATCAAAATCCCTTGTCTCAAGTCAAACACAAAACACAAAAATATTTTTACATTTATTTTTGTGAGTATAATGGTGAGAGCGAGAGCGTTTGCAATTGTTTTATCAGCAATTCTAGAATATAACTATTTTTTAAGGAAAATGTGTGTGTTATTTCTTATCAAATACTGTATACATATTTTATAGTGCTTCTTATCTTCAGCTCTTGAACAATGCAGCTGCCATAAGCCTCTCCTTGTGTTGATAATAATGTGTGTAAAACCAGAGTGTTGTAATGTGATTTCTGTGAGTGTTGGGCTAATGGTGTGTGCTGTGTCCATGTGCAGGTCTATGGAAATGCAGGATCTAGCCAGTCCTCACAGCCGAGTCAGTGGAAGCAGTGAATCTCCCAACGGTCCCAGCCTCGACAACTCACACATTAACAACAATTCCATGACACCCAATGGCACTGAAGGTATGATGCCCTCACCACAAAATAATTCAATGGTTATGAAATTGAATATTGATGGTAGTTGGACATGCTTAGGCCGCTATACACAAATTAAATTACATATGTACTTGGCTATATGGAAATGTTATAGTTTTGCTTAGAATGTCCTATGACATTAGACTTCTATCTACATGTCACATGTTACATGTTAGGTAAGTGTAGATGCAAGGCCCATCAAAAAAGTTACATAGAGCACCTTTAAAATAAAAGCTAGGTTATTTATGTTAGTGAAGAAGCCATTCTCTTTTAATGTAAGTCTCCCATCCACCTAATCAGTCTGAATCTTTCTATGAGTGTGTACTTATGACACAGGATTTGGTGGACTCTGCAGACTGTCATGTTTGTGTGCTTTGCCACTCTTTTTCCCATAGGAGATAACATCACAATGCTTACCACTGCAGACTGGTTGTTAGGGTCTAACTCACAGTCCGCTGCAGGTTTGTTCACTTCAGAGACACAATGAAAGGACAATATTTGGTGTTCTGATTATTCAGAAGAAAGGAAGAGAAAAAAGTTTATTTCCAAGAGTGATTTTGTAGTTCCTTGATTAATTTTGGCTATTAAAACGTGTAAATACTACTTCAACTATTGTGCCTTTCATTCAGTAAGTTAAATATAAAGTTTAATTTTGCCCTCTTGTGTTTGGAGCATGGTTTGGTGGTTTTCAAATTTCAGAATGACTTTATTTTGTCCATGCTGCCTCCTTCGGACAGTGGTTATTTTGTGTGTGCTTGTTTATGCATGCACTATATTTTATCTGTGTTCAAGTATCTGGTGGACTTATGTTTTTGCACCAAACAGCAGAGCAGAGACATGTAAAACATGACAGCATGAGGGAGTCTGCTGAGCATGGTTCGTAGGCCCACATTGTCAGAATGAGAGAAAAATTCTCAGGCCGTCAGAAGTGGAGTGGATTCATTTTTGTAGATTCCAAAGCTGTCAGAAAACTATGAAATTGTCTTTTCAAATCTGTCTTTGACTTTAGGTCAGACAGCGCTCATGGCACGCTAACAATTTTATGCTGGTCCACAGACACATTACTCAAAAACATCAAAATGTTTCTAGTATGTCTAGCGAAAAAAAAAAAAAACATGGATAAAAAAGCATTTTTGTTATAAAAATATAAAAGTAAAAAAAGTAAGTATTGTATTTACACACATAAAGCTTATTGGTTTGGTACAGTTTGTTTACCTTTGCTGCATTTTAAGCTCTTCTTATTTACTCTTATTTTAGTCATTTTGTCAAATTCCTGGAAGCAACCAAAAATCGTAATTTTATTTTTGTCTATTTACATCCTGATAAGGTGTGTTTTTTGTTACAGTTAAAACCGAGCCAATGAGCAGCAGTGACATTGCCTCCTCAGTAGCAGACACGTCTCTGGACAGCTTCTCAGGATCAGGTGAGTTGGAGGGGTATGGTTTGGTCAGAGGGGGCCTGGTGGGCCTGGGGTCTGTTGTATGGGATTATGAGCCTATAGGTCACTGATGAGGGCCGTAAGTGTCCTGCAGCTCAAAGCTTGCTCCCAGGATGACTGAGGTGTGTGTTACTGTGACTGCTCAGGCTGATGCTGACCTGTAATGCCCTGAACCTGTCTGTCCACTGGAGTGACAGGGTGTCCCCATGGCCCTGCCTCTCCATGGGCCGTCACCCTTTCGCCCCGTCAGAGTCTGCATTTTCACACTCTGTGCACAGCACCTCTACAGCTCACACACATATTCACACCAACACAGGACGCTGCTCATACAACCACTGGAGCGGGTCTTTTAAAAGCTATTTTTATTTCTGTAGTAATTGTGCTTCTGTACAAATCCATGTAATTAATGTTCTCAAATTTAGTCCTAATTTTCCTGTTTTTCAGGCAGTGTTTAAGTAAGTACCTGATCCGTTAACACTGGAAGCACATAAATCACTGCCGTGACTTTTGTCTCCAACAATATTAATGAAATGTTGTAATTGAACACCGTGTATCCTCTGAGGGGAAACCCAAAGACTCTTCAGAAGAGCAACTTTTGTCCAGTGGCAGGTGCTGCCGATGTGGGAAAAGTGTTCAATATTAATAACGTGTGTGAGGTTATAGCATACAGTTACATAAAGTTAGTGCTCCCCGCAACCAAACCCCTGCCTTTACCTGTCAGGACCAATTAGGAAGACATTTCAAAACTGAGCCTTTCTACTGCTAAGCCTGGCTTTTCTGATAAATATCCATATGAACGATTTTGTATACATTAATGAGTGTAATATATGTAATATGTGTAAATTGAAATATTACATAATATTAAATACTATATAGGTATACTATAGTTCGTGTTAGAGTTTTATAATATAGAACAGTGTTTTCACAAAAATATCGACATTTATATTATGAATAAAAAAAACTAATTCCCTTTGAAACGCTTTTTGTGAGTAATTCACTGGTGACTTTGTACAAGTTCCCAGCAGCGCTGAGGCACATGCTCTTAGCCCTAATGAAGGGCTGATTATGCAGTAGCACTCATTACCTGTAATCAGTGATGTCACTTCCAATGTGGTTGTGGCTCAAACAGCCCAGGGCCACAGGCCGAGGCTGGCTGCGTTTAGCCCGGTGTAGTCACAGCAGCAGGCGGACCTCAGAGATACTGCGGTCAGCACAAAACTCATGTTTTACCTGATTATTTGTCTTGATTATTGCTCCCCAGTTCTCAACTTGAAATAAGGTTACTGAAATAAATAGACTAATGCTGTGTATTGGTCGTTTCCTTGGAATCCCATAGTCCTGTTGGCAAAAGACAATATTTACTCTATTTCTTAATGTTTAAATATGTGCTTGCTTCTTTCTTTTTACTCTCCTCAGCTATTGGAACCAGTGGCTTCAGCCCAAGACAAACTCACCAGTTCTCTCCGCAGATTTACCCTTCCAAGTAAGACTTCTGTTATTCCTCTTTAACAAATAAGCAGCATTCGACTTTTTTAATTAGATCCCTCTGCTCAGTCGGGGATGTTTACCTGGACGACTGCAGCTTGGGCTTTCTCAAATCTGTTGTAATTATTATCTTGCAAAACTTTCTTTAACTGATTATTGTTCTTTCCAATGTATACGAGCAGTGTGATACACATCTGCCTTACACTTTGGCTCAGTGTTGAAATAAGTAGCAAAATCACTTGGAAATTGTCAACACTGTTTGAGTTTAGATTTTGGGGTAACACTTTATTTCCTGACATCTTTGTCACTTTTGTCTTGTGTTTCTCTTGTTCAACAGCAGAACATATCCGCATATTCTTCCTACCCCCTCATCCCAAAACATGGCGGCGTATGGGCAGACGCAGTACACCACAGGAATGCAGCAGGCCGCAGCTTATGCTAGCTATCCTCAACCAGGCCAACCGTATGGCATCCCAGCTTATGGTAAGACGCCCCAAACACATCTTGTTCTGTTAAACAATAATCTTATCATCACCATAGGAACACAGCAGTGCAGGCAGATTTGTCCTTTAGATGGTCAGGACAGAGGCCATAGAATAAACCATGTTCCCACCATTCGTTTGCAAAGTGCTGAGTTGTTGCTTGTTGTTTGGTGCCTGCATATTCTCTGCCGGCGCAATAAAACTGAATTTGCTTATCAAGCTGTTCAGACAGATCTGCAAGATTAATGATATAAATGTGAAAACAAAAGCCGGTTTCCTCTGGCATGGCTAGAGAAAGCAAAGACTGCAGGGCTCACTGTAGGCTTTATTTGTGCAAAGTCTTTGGAGTGTTTTGGCCCTAGAAGACTCTCCAATATGAGCAGGAATTTACTCTGTTTATTTGAATGGAGTGATGCATTTTAGTCATCTTAGAAGGAAACTTTAGTGACTTATTGGATTTGGTGAACAATTCTCTGAATACATATTAAATAATATCTCAATACCCTTGCAAGGGTGTAGTAGTTGTAATTGGAAAATACTGCATTTTGGATCATTGGAGCAAGATAGGGATTTTTGTAGTTTTTTTGAGAAGTACATTTATGGTTAAAAATATTAATCTGTGTAATGTTTACTTAAAAAATATCTGTCAGAGTGTTAGTAACATAAACTAGTTCATAATATTCAGACTTAAATTTTAAACCTAAAATAATATAATGCAGCCAGGAAGGAGTAGGCTTATAAAATTGAAGAACATTTCTGTGATCCTGTTATGTCATTAAAACTATAAATTTCCAGCAAAACGCTTAGCAGTGCGGCATAATACTCCAGATAATATTTCCAAACAACTGCTGGTAGTAGAAATGGTGTAATCAGATAATGAGCAAGTACCATTGCGATTAGTGTGTTCTCCTAACAGACTTAGCCCATCTGTGTGACACTGCTGTGTCCAGTGTAATTTAAACCTGTGTGTTGACTGTTGTCCGTGCATCAAACCGATCTGGTGTCACTAACTGATTTAGGTCCATTGTGGGCAGGCATAAAGACTGAGGGGGGTCTGAGCCAGTCCCAATCGCCGGGACAGACCGGATTCCTCAGCTACAGCTCCGGCTTCACCACTCCTCAGACCGGACAGGCCCCCTACAGCTACCAGATGCAGGGTGAGCACTTCCTGGTCCAGAACTGTTCATACTTTCACACTTTAACTTGTGGGGTCAGGTCAGAACGCAGCTTGTTGGATACACCCACTGACTATAATGGTGGCATCTTCAGAGGAGCTACAAGTTGAATACATACTTTGGTCTTTCTATAGTTTTTCAGAGAGATCTCTTCATTTTTGTGTTGTTAGTTACATTCATAAGCATTAAGTATATTATGCAAGCTGGAATGAATGCAATTAAGATGTTATATTTCCGGTCTAGCATCATCACAGCTAATCCTCTTGCATATGAATTTAACTACAATAAAATTTATCCAAGCTTGGGACTGTCTCAGTGGCTAGCAAGCAAGAACAAAAAACCTTCCTTCATTTTTAAACATTCCATTTTTGCCATACAACCTGAAATCAATTCTCCCTAATTGTGCAAGACTCGGCCTAGCACTCACCCTTGCAAATGGGTAGCCCCCTTTTTCTTCTAAAAATCAACACAGATGGAAAAATAGCCCATAACACTTAAGAGGCACCCACCATGTCATTCCCCTCCCCTACCGACTTTGTTTTCCCTCTCCCTATGATCATATTTGTATTTGTTTTAAGAGCTGCGACTGCTTCACATTTATGGCCTTGGAACCAATAAAGATGAGTTGTTGCCGCCTTCCTTTTTACTCTCTTGGTGCAGTTATAGTTGCAATAAATGTGGATCAGACCTGCTGCAGCCTTGTGTCTCTATTACTGCTACTCTTTGTAGTGGTCGCTGCATGGGATCTGCCTAGCGTATCAGCACCTGCGTTCTACAAGGGCGTTTAGCTGCGCAACTGCTAGCATCACAGCATCTGTATTGAAATATGTGTGACAGTAGAAGCGTCTCCACATGTTGAAAGACAGTAAATAATGCCAGTGAAGCAGCAGCAGATGTGGCAGAGGGGAAAAGCGTTTTTTCCGTGCCTTTTAGATGTATATACAATGAAAGTGTCGGAGCATGCAACAGAAAAAACGAAAGTGAGAGAGAGGACATGTGCAAAGCTGCTATAGTGGTTTAACTCTTGATGACAGTGTTATGTGCCCATTCGTCTTTAAGTATTACAGTTGCTTCCCTTTGTCCGGAGCTGTCTTCCTGCTATCTCCAGCTATCTGATGCTCCTCGTAGCGTTAAGTGCGTTTGTAATTGACAGGGTAGTTAGATGACAGATTGACCACTATTTAGATTCTCAAGCTCTGGCCCTCATCCACACCATGGCCATTACTCTGCCTGGCCTATTGATCCAATCCTGGCGAGCTGCCCTACTCCTGGGTGTCCCGACTAGAAGGACTTTTTTTTTTCATTCGATACCCCCCTCAAGCGTCTTCGCCACCAGCCTGTAGCCAGCTGTCAAGACTGAGGACAATTAGATTAATGTTCCCCATTCATTTCTTTTATCTGCGATGCTATGGAGATCTGTGTAAGTGTTTAAAGACACAATAAAAGGGTACACGCGTTAATTAGTGATTTAGTGAAGCTTAGTTTGGCACTCCTAAGCAGTAAACAAATAAGATGACAATAGAAAGTTTTTAACAGAGAATTAGTGAGGGCGAACAGATGCTGATTAGCTGTATAATCGGATTCCTGCATTCTACCCCAATGGCGACGCAAGAAGCCCAAGCGACGGTTACCTTTCAAAAAAAAAGAGTGCGCCCCATCTGGACTTGATAGCCTATTCCCAAGTGGAGCATACAAACTTCTGCTACAAATATTGTGCACTGATGATAGACATAGCCCATGGCAAAGGCGACTGATCAAGCAAAGCAAATGGACTTCCAATTGTAGGGCCAGAAGGCAAGAGGGGAGGAGGGGTGAGGAGGTGATGTCTGCTCTTGAGTGAGTGGACTAACTGCAGCAAGACTGAAGTGAGGGTGGGGGGTGGGGGAGCCCAAACATGCCCCCCGGGGGAACCACAACCGTCTCTCTCTCTCTCCCCCAAACTTTAACCAGCACCACCACTCGCAACAGCATGGGCCCATTCTCACCAAGCAGGGGGGGGTCCCGGTTGTCTTTTATGTGGCAGCACGTTTTCCACAGAGCAACCCTCAAACTTTGACAGTGAGAGCTTTTATGACTGTTTGAACTGTGCATTAGGCTAATTTGTTGTCCTTCCACTCCATACTCCTCCTCGGTACTGACTTATTGTTCTGTCAGACTTTCACTCCGCGGTGAACTTTCTGTGGGGAACACTCAAAATCCCCTTGCAGCCTGTGAAAAGACAAATCCAACAATAAAGGGCCATGATGGAAGTAACCTGTTCAAGGCTCAATCCAAAACAAGAGCAAAAAACAGCATTTTTGACTCCTTTCTTCGTAATGAACCATGTTTTCTTGTCCATTTTATGTTGCCCTCTTCGCCCCACCAGCTCACCCCTTCCCCCTGAAAAGCTGCATCGTGTTTGTTACGGTGTGGGGTGGGGGTACCCGATGGGGCCAGTGACCAGAGGATGAAAGGGCCTCACCATGTTTGTCCCTGAGAACAAAGGTGTAATTACGCCCCCATTTAGGAACAGTAAATTCATCTCCCTGTGTGTCTTCACAGCCATGGGAGACCTGTAGTTGTGTCAAGAAACAGTTAGAGATGTATGGTGAGGTGGCTTGCTGATATGCATTCAAATCTATGTCTTTTTAGCTATTCATTTATATTATGTGTAGATAATACAAAACTTGATTGGACAAATTAGTTGTATTTTTGTAGCTAATAAATCATGGCCACAATGAAGTGAAGTGGTTACTAAAATTATGTTACAGCAATACATCAAAATCATACACTTTTAACCACTTTGCCATATAAACATTTAGCCAATAAAAACACCATCTATTTCACATCAGACTTAATAGTTCTGCTAATTTCTAGTAATTTTAGAAAAGAGCAAATGAGATTTTAATGTGGCATGACAATTGTGGTACTTACCTGGGCAGAAATGTTTCCACAATCAGACCAGTCAAGAATTGGCTAATCTTTACTATTAGTTTATTTTCTGAATCAGTCCATGGTAGCTTCAGGCCTGTTGCTTTCCTTCTGTACTCATGTATATTATTAGCCCATTAGATGCTATCAGCTCCTTGAATGATTTAATTACCCTGGAAGACAATGCTCTTAGCCACTGAATAGAACGCCATACATATTTATTGGCCCTTGGTGTAATTGGTAATCCCGCCCCATCGCTTCTCCTCACTCCTCCCTCCTCTTATATAGATATCCACTCATTCACTGCCCTCTCCTGCTCCCCGCCCCGTGCCACCCTTGGCTAGCTCCCACACAACAGCCTCTTGTGTTGCTCACATTGTCCAGCGCCCTTGGGTGGCTTTGGGAGCACTCCCCACCCCTCCTCACCCTTCACCACTCGCCCTGTGTCATTCATCAGGCTTGATCCAATCGGTGATAAGAAAGGAAGAGAGGAGAGATAAGGGCATTGTGGGGAAAAATGTCCTCAGGCTACTGCTAAATAGTTGTTTGACAAAAGACTAACTTCACCACCACTAACAATGTTCCAATTGAGATCTATTACAATGTTGTTTTTGCATTGGAGTAACTCAGTTTTCTTTCATTTTTCAAAGGTGGTAGTTTTACAACAACTTCAGGACTCTATGCTGGAAACAACTCCTTGACGAACTCCACTGGTTTCAATAGTACGCAACAGGTAGCAATTTCTCCCATTTTTATATCAGATTATATGTCAGAATTCAAGGCCAATCTGGAAGTTTTTATGAGGCATACATAGTCAATATGTTTCAATTCATCCGTGACACTTACAAACATAAATCAGCCATCATGTCTGCAGCATAATCTAGAGAGTGTACCTCCTTCAACTTATAACACATGTATAATGCCACACAGGGAAAGGGATATAGAAAAAGCTCGACCAGTCATTGTCCAGATGTGGATAGAAACGGCACATGTTTGCATTTATGCTGGGGAATCTGCACTGTAAAGTAGCAATACTAGCAAAGAGCACATTTCACAGCACAGCACTACATTTGTGAACTTGAATTCACTACCCAATGATTCCCAAACTGTGGTGCAGGTCTCAATGGGTGTGTGGATGCTTTCTCTGGTGGCACTCAAGACTGGCCATTTTCATTTAAATGTAGAGGTTTATTTATTGCCATTTTTAATAATATTCAACATCAAAGAACTAACGATTAGGATAGGTATTTATTAACACTCTGAAACCAGTTAATCCATAAATATTTTCCAAACAGAACAAGCACTTGGTAATGTCAAATTCTAAAAGCCTTTTAGCTCCATTTTGTGTCCTCTGACAAAGTTGGTTATCTGTTAACAAAATATTTTCACAAAAAGCTTTTCAATAGTAAAAGTTGGCCAATCGCTGTTTGATAATCCATTTAAAACTGCATACTGTGTGTCTCTCCGCAGGACTACCCTGGTTACCCCGCCTTCGGTCAGGGCCAGTATGCACAGTATTACAACAGCTCGCCGTACACCTCGCCGTACATGGCCAGTAATAACACGAGTCCCAGCACGCCCTCCACGACCACAACATACACCCTCCAGGAGCCCCCCAGCGCCATCACCAGCCAGGCACTCACAGAGAACCCTGCAGGTACAATACAGGCTACTAATGTTGTTCAAATTATGTAAGAGCATATTCTTTAGACCTTTAATGCCTTTTTTGACAGCTCTTTCTTTAGCTTTTTTGTGTTTTCTGTGGTTAAGAATGGATTAGTAATTTGGTGGATTTAGTGTCAAGACACCAAAAAATTAAGAATGAGACCTAGTGTGTATTTACACTTACACACACTTCACAACATTTGGACTAAATCTGAAACTAAACCTGAACTAGACGAACACTAAAATTGAAAAGGACCAAACCATAGTCTCTATCAGAGCTAAACTGAGCTCAAACCAGACATGTAAACGCATCAGAGACTATTGATTCACAGAGGAAAATAATTTGGCGCAAGTGCTTAAATTTAATATTATTTACACTAGTTCTTTGTAATTTAGGCCGATGGAGATGCCAGAGCTAAAGTACAAAGTTTCAATTTGACAAGAAATCAGAGCATGCTTTTAAAGAATTATTTGGTTGATAAATATATTAATCTTTATTCATTTTCATTTACCTGTTTAGCTCTGGACAGACTGGAGTGTCCCTTAAAACTTCACAGACATTGAGATTGAGATTAATTTGCTACCCAGTTGACATCCATTTGTTACCTCTACAGTAAATCAATATTACCAAATGCCTTTATTACGTTTACTATCTTTTACCTGTAGTCTTAGATAATGCCTCAGGAAGCAGCCTGTCCTCTCCCAAGACAAATCGTCCCTCTTGGCTCTCCCTTCACTAAAAGCAAATAATAGCTCATCTTTGATACAGTCTTTTTCACCTGCTTCCTTCTTCCTTTCAGCAGAGTACAGTACCATCCACAGTCCATCAACCCCCATTAAAGATTCAGATTCGGATCGATTGCGCCGGGCCTCGGATGGAAAGTCACGTGGCCGGGGGAGGAGGAACAACAACCCATCACCGCCGCCCGACTCCGACCTTGAGGTAAGGGTGAGCCCGCTGCCGTGGCGACAGACGGCCTAGCCCTGTCTGAGGCCCATAGACACTAATCCACTTAGGATATGGCATTCACACTTGATGGGCAGTTGTTCTTTAAATATTTGATTGCTTAACTATAACTGCATTATTAAGGCACTCTGGAATATATGAGATCACCTATGACTAATAAAGATTTCCTCTTAAATAAACAATAAGACAAATGGTTAACTGAGGTGAATGATACACATTTACAAGTATTTGAATATCATTATTATTATTATTATTATTATATACACACATTTTTGTAATTCTTGCAAGACCAATAATTAAAACTGATTCTGATTCTTTATTTTTTGATACATTTGAAAACAGTAAAAAATCTTGTATATTGAATCTCTAATTTAACTAATCTGTTATATCATAAACATATTACTTTGTCAGTGCTGAAAAAATGTATTTGAAAGAAAACTAAAAAGGATGGACACTTGTTCTTTAAATTTGATTCCTTAACAATAAATGTATTATTCAGAGACACTGGAATATATGAGATCACCTATGACTTGTAAATAAACAATAGGACGTGTGATTACCTGAGGTGAATAATATATATTGAAGACATGAGAGATTGGCTGACACAGATACCATTGCACCACGCGCCATAAAACACTTCAACAATATGTCAAAATAAAGTGTGGCTAATTCAAAGGCCTCTTCATTAATATGATATGATCTGGACTGGGTAATAGCAGCCATTATAGCACTTACATCATGCCGTGTTAACATATCTAGTTAATTAGTTTGTCACTATTGATCAGTCTAATGTAAAAGGGCAAAGGGAGGGGGGTGTGGCGGGTGATGGGAGAAGTGTTGCGGTGACCAGGCCAAGCAAATGGATCCCTCGTCCCTGTGGTGCACAAATACATGGCCCTGGCCTATTGACCAGAGGATCACCTAACAGGCCTACAGAGTGCACCATTGATTTAGACTTTTCTGTTTTTCTGTCCTGCTCCTGTTCTGCTCCTGTCCTGCTCCTGTCCTGCTCCTGCCCTGCTCCTGTCCTGCTCCTGTCCGTCTGTCCAGAGGGTTTTCATCTGGGACCTGGATGAGACGATCATCGTTTTCCATTCCTTGCTCACAGGTTCCTATGCCAACCGATTTGGGCGGGTGAGTGACGTCAGACTGTGGTAGTAGCTGTGTTTGAACAGCAAAGTATAGCCAAGCATCACTAAGAAAATATTTGATCATTCTAAATACAGAAATCTATCTTGTTTTGACCATTTTTAGACCATTTTTATTCCTGATTGCTATTTACATCCAATCACTGTTTCATTTTTTGGATATGAATGCAAGGTATAAAGAAATTATATGTTTTAGTAGATTTATAAAACATATTGATATTTAAGAATTTTGTTATGCAATTGAAAGATGATTTACCACTGAACTATAAAACTTGTGCTCTATAAGTCTATCCTTATTAGGTACAATCTTGACTTCATCATGAGAGATTTAAGCTAGTTCTCTTGTTTGTTTATTTTCCTAAAATTTTTATGGTTAAAGGTACTATGAAACTGTTCTGGTGGATGGTTTACTACCTGCTTGTATTCAGGGAGATGCTGTAATATATTAATGTTTCTATTGTTCAAATGTATATTGAAAAAACATGCATTTTTGTGAGTGACAAGCAAGTGGCAGATCCCCAACCCCAACGTTACATAGTTCATCTTTAATGTGTAAGACCTAGATCTCAGACTTATATAATAACAATTACTGCAAAAAATGAAATTGTGAGTCGAGAGCACCGGATCGATTTCACTGTGTCACATATCCATAATACAAAAGTCAATGCACATAATTGTTTCTGGTTTTAATTGGTCCGATGAGGCCTGGAGAGTATGTGAGTGCTGTGTGCAGCTGTTGGAGCTATGCACGTCTGCTGCTCGGGCCTCTGCTGTAGGGGCTCCCAACAGTTGCACTCTGGACATCTATTGACACATCCTAAGTGTTCCTTTCTCCTTCAGAAATGCCACATTGTTAGTTTAATTAAGTGCTCCTCAATCCATCCTTTTCAGACGGTGGTCTCCCAGGAGATCCGGCCCGGAGTCTGAGTAAACCCAATGCAACTCGGAAAATTCAGACGGACATTGCGAGGGTCCCTTTTTATAGCGTTGAGTAAATCGTGTACAGTATGTGCAGCTTGTGTATATGTACAAATGTAAGGCCAAATCCTTGAAAGCGTATGTGGTAATTATTGTAGATATTCATTTCTCATTCACAGTGTACGGTCATAAGAGGAAGAGTTTACTTTTCCAGGCTATGCTATTTGTTATTTCATGTAAATTGCTCCTCTAAATTTAAACTCTAAAAACAAACAATTTGGGAAATCAGACGAAATCTTATTCTCATGGCTTTGTGGGGGTCATAGGCTCTATAGGCTTCGTGTTTTTTTTTTATTACTACTATTATTATTTAGGGAGATTCCACATTCCAGTGTTCTTCCACATGTTGGAAACATTTTAAAACATTTCTAGAGGATTCATCAGTGCAAACAAAATCAAATACCTCTGCTTAGATGCGACTTCAACAAATGCCTGCTTGTATGAGTTACATTAGCGTATTTGATACCCTAAATGTTAAGGCTGTGCGCTACATCTCAACTGAAATGAAACTGATATTTGAGTTGGTGCAATAATTAAAGTTATTTAGGTATTAGAATGAAATCTGTAAACAAATTATATATCAGGTCTTTTTATTGAGGAAAGAGTAACATCAGTTTTTACTTTATAGACCTCTACAAAACCTGTTCTCAAATGCATTCTTGTATATTATCAGCTCTTATATCATATGTTAATGCTCCTGGATGTATGATTAATTATAATCACTATGGCAATTTTTTTTCCAAAATTTTGCTGCTCTACTAAACATGACATAAATCTTAAGAACTAAGAAGGATTATAACGTTGGAGGTTCTTCTTCTTAATCCTCATTTGTTTTGTCAGTGTAGGTGTGTGGTTTTGAAGTCTGATAGTCTGACTCCTCATATGTCCCAGGGCTTAGCGTCTGGGGCCCGCACTCCGCTCCTTTATTCTGGAATGAGGGGTTGTTTGATGGGGGCAGTGTTGTGTTTTTGGGGTGAAAGAGGACTGCCCCGCGACCCTCTACTGTTTATTTACTTTATTCTCCTGCGCTGCATGCTGGGTAAAGAGAGAGAGGGAGGCCGCGCACACACACACACATGCACACAGGGTCTCTAGTGTGCTCCTCTCAAACAGGAAGCACTGCTGACTCCATAAGGGCCCGCTCCATCAGAACTCATATAGGATGTGACAGCCGCTGCAGCCCCCTCACTCCTCAGCTTTTCACTTTGTTCCTTTTGGACCAGAAAAACACCTCAGTATAGAACTATACTTCGTATTTTTTTACTTTTTCAACATTTTTATATGTGGGCCAATATTTTTGTTCATTTTTAGGGGGAAAGTGCCTGGGTTATATTAGATGCTATATTATCAGGGGTATTGCCAAATGAAAAGCAAGCGATACAATTACTGGTACATTCCTATAAAAGGTACAGTTTTAAACCATTAAATCAACTCCTTTTTGGGAAGAATCAATATTAGTTAGTATATCAAACCTACGAAAAATAATGAATCTGATAACATTTGAATAGAACATTTTAACTTATAACAAGTCCAGATGTCTCATTTTTAGTGATGTTGGCTTCAGCTTTGAAAAGGGAATTGGAGAATTGTCAAGACACAACAAATGCTCAACCTACTCAGTCCATATCTCCCTACGGCTGCTTTGCTTTTAGGGGAAATCATCCGTAATTAGTTAAAAGGAAGTATTAGAATATATTGATTTTTACATGAATCATTATTTTACCTCTTTATTTGTTTATTATCTGGAAGACTCAGATTGTTGGCATACATCATATTGCATTTTGCTATCTAAAAATCTAACAAAGATGTTTTGAAATGTAATACAAATCTAGATGCTTGTTCTGCAGGTCAACAGAAATATTACCTCAAATGCACTGCCTTTTATTGATGTTTCGTAACTCTGATTCTTATTATAGCGAAACACAAAGAAAGCCAGTAACCTTTTACAATAGCTCCTATCCACACTAAGCACACTTTATACGTTCTTGTGGCTTATCAAAAACACTGATCTGTAAACTACTTGTATGTTATGCAGTCCCCCATCTGTCATGCGCGTCTATCTTAAGAGTGATAAACAAAAACATTACAAAACGCCTTTTTCAACGCCAACTTTACTAAAAATAGCTGTGTATCTTGGTGTCCACACTTTCTCTCCCCCTCTGACCTCCCTGGATCGCACAAGCCTAACACATAGCTGCGCTTATCAACTCTTTTAATTGGCATCAAGGCAGCTCGCCCCTATAAAACTGATGGTTAGGGCCAGCTGTGGAGCTTTTGGGGCGACTGGCTTTAAGTGGCTGTGGGGGCGGCATGTTATTGGTAAGGGGAGGGGGTGAATGGGGGGGTGCAGGGGGGTGTTGGCGCCCCCGTGGATGGTACTGACGTTTTGGGACAGGTGGTAGCAGAGCCCTGACAGCACTTCTGCTCTGCTTGTATTCTTAACTCGCTCACTGACTGATTGTTTAGGTTTAATTGGAGCACAAGAGAGACAAGCTTTTCCCACCAAAATCATCTCCCGACTTGAAATACTTGACTTGAAAACAAAGTTGCTCTGTAAAATGTGGTTCCCAAGATATCTTAATAATATGATAAAGTTTAAATATTTTATAATGTTATTTTATATACATATCACTTAATTTTTAATATAGTATTTATTTAAAGAGATGAATCCAGAGGAGACTAACTATTTTTGCTGTGCACTTTTCTTTTTATCAGCAATAGAGCATAAATCTCACATGAAGTTCTGTTGAGTTATATTGCCACAAAAAACATACAAGATACACAAGTAGATTTGTAAACCATTTTTTACTTTTTGTAGCATTTCTATACTTTTTTTGAACAAGCGTACCACGGCATTTTGCTTGTTAAGAGTTTAGACCACAAAAGATCTTAAAAATACAATATTATGTTATATAAGTAGCAAAAAACTTTTAATTTACGTATATTCAGAAATTAGACCACAGGATTTTTTTTTATGTGTAATTTTTAAAAAGTAAAAAAACAGAGCATAATTCACACATTATGAAGTTGAGATAAAATTACATTTCCACAGAAGCATACAAGCAAATAGAATTGTAAATCATTTTTATATTTTGTAGTATCTCTGCATCTTTTTTTGAACAAGGGTTGTACAATTCAACACCACAGCATTTTCTTGACTTCAGAGATTAGACCACGAGAGACTTAATTATTTTTTCGGAGTGTGGGAGGTTAGGAGAAAGCAGTTTGAAAAGTGGAGATTGCCTTCTTCTTGTGTGGTTTATCCTCTGTCATTTTGCAAAAAACATAAGCATTGTTGAGAGTGGCAGCTAATCAGTGAAAAGCTCAGGTGGGTCTCAGGTGCTTTAGGGCCATAATCCCTGGTCCAGGCCGTGGAGCATTCAGGCAGTCTCACACAGACCCTCCTCCACAGCCTGCACATTCTACAGATAAGAGATTTTAGATAAATTAAAAAGATTGTATTTGCCACCACGTAGAACTAAATAAGATAAATATGATAAACCAAGATAGTCACAGAAATAAAACTAGAGGAAAACTAGAAATTACATGTATTTTAATATAAACAACAGGAATATGCACTTAGTATGCAGACTGTAGATAGCCGGTGACAAAAAATAAATTTCTGGTTAATTCTACTTTAGTGACTAGCATTAACTACTAACCAAAAGGCGTCGTATCTTTGATCACATCACTGGTATATTTCAGTGTATTGATCCAAACTAGACTGGGGACATTTTTGCCTATTCATTATATTTTAAAGGGGAAATCGCACCCATTGTCACTGCCTCATTAACTATTTACAGCCTAGTTCACTCTCTAGGTATTATCTTACAGACAGCGCAACCATATCTTCTCTGCTGTGTTGAGTTACCGGCATAGATCATGATTTTAAAGTAAATTCAAAGTGGGCCAGCTCTTATTCATGGCCTAATTTATAACACTATTTTCAAGTGGCATGCAAAATACAAGATCAAATCAAATTAGTTTGGTGGGATGATAACTGCAAGTACTGGAAAGGATGCAGAATGTACTTTTCATGGTTAGGCTGCAACCCTAGTCTTAGTTTTACTGCACTTGATTAAGGTCTTTGGCATTCTAATGACAATTTTGGCTCTAGTTATAAACACAGATCTTCCTAATGTTCACTTTTATATGAAGAGTAAGACTAAAGAATTTACAAGGTCTTTTGATTTAGTATTTTGTCAGAACTGCAGTGTATATTTAAAGGTGCACTATGCAACTTTTCTGGTGGGGAGTCTGCAATCTGCTTGTCTCCATAGAAATGTTATTGCTTAGTGTGGAATATTTTACAGTATGGCATCAAACTTATCCACTTTAACTTGCTTGTGTCCATGAATTTAGATAATAGACAAATTAATACCATGCTCTGGAATATTCCAGGCCAAGCAATACCACCTGCATTCGCGCAAGTGTGTGGCTGAACAGAAAAGGCATAATGCATTTTTAACATGCTGAAATTCTTTTTATTTTATTTTTTATTTATTTATTTTTTTCTGTTGTTTTTCAGGATCCCCCAACATCAGTGTCACTCGGATTGAGAATGGAGGAGATGATTTTTAACTTGGCTGACACACACTTATTTTTCAACGATTTAGAGGTATGTAAACAACTTCAGCTACACCTGCGTACAGTTTTGAAAATGTATATCTTGGGCATATTGTGCCACTTTGAATTATTCTTTGCCCCTCCTCTCTTGTCTCGCTCCCATCACAGCCGGTGCAATTTGTCAGGCTCTAGAGTTTCCAGGGCTGCCCCCTCTGTCTGTGCGTCCTGCTGAGCTGCTCGGTGTCACTGTCCACTTACAGTACCAAAACTCCCCCTACAGGCCCACTCTCATGCCTCTCGGCCCTCATTCATGTATACCAGAGTAAAACCTGCCTCTAGGGGCAGGGACGGGAGGGGGTAAAGGTGTGTGGACTTCATGTGGATACACTGTATTCCTTTTTGATTTTCCCTCCTTTTAATGCCCATACACAGCTAAATATCTGAATAGTTATTGTTGCCTAGGTTAGCACCCAGTTTTACTTGACGATTCAATTCTACTGAATCAGGATAAATATGTTTAATTCAATTTTGATACATTTTGCAATATTGTTTATTTAGATGGCTTGCCAAAATGAATATATGGCATATGGTACCTCGGTTAGTAATCCATATATACTGAAGTCTTAGGTAGAAACGCTACAATGTTTCAATATACATGCACAAAAGCACACACCAAATAAAAAAAAACAAAAAAAAAACTCAAGTCTATTTTAACACCTCATATGAAAAATGCTCAGGCGGTTTCTTGAATTTATTACCCTTGTCTTGTTTTTCCTTTTTTCCAATCCCACTGTCCGACCACTTTTCCTCGGTGTCCTGGCGGCTGACCTCACAGGAGAGGAAATGTTTTGTTTGATACTTAAGTGTGAAGAGATGTGTGGCCGCTCTGCCAAGTCTCATTACTCACCACCGTGTTCTGCTGTGTTACAAAGCCAGGCCCCAAAACTGAAAGAAAACCTTCATATTCACCCAGACAGCAGAGTGACTGGGATCCCAAACGCACTGATCAAAGTTAATTGGCTCCAATTGGCTGCTTAAATATTTCCTTATGTCTCTGCCGTGTAGATTCTATTGTAGCTGCACTTTGTTTAATAGATGTGCCCCAATCATTTGGAAAAATGGCAGTTTGTGACAATGCTTAAATGTGGTTTTGCTCAACATCTGTCCTGTGTTTTGATTTCTTTTCATCTGTCATGAGGCTGTTCACAGACACAGTTGGCAGCTCAAGCTACTTAGGAAATTATGTGAAAACTTAGTGCTCACATCTCTGTTTTGTCTCAGCTACAAAATTTTTTCATTCCAGTTTAGTCAAAATGTGTGTGTGTGTTATGGCTGAAGTAGCATCCTGTGATCTGATGCCGAAAAACCTATGCAGGAGTTCTCTAAAACAGTAATAAAGACATAAAGGGAAAGGACGTTATCATGATATTGATCTTAATACCTCAAACAAGCCAGGATCCATGTGTTAAGTGCATTCAGCATTGCCTACACATTTGTGCTTCCTCTCCCATGATTTACAGTGCCACATCTCAAATAGAGCTAAACAGAGTCCAGCTATAAATACAGCAGCCAGCAGCAGTTATGTATTTAAGCATGTGCAGAAATGCATATGGTCCATCTAATTTAGTCTGCGCCATAAAGGGAGCCCCCAGAGGCAGAACACAGGTGCACAGTCAGTAGCCAAATGTTGCTCTGTGAAAGTCTTAACACTGCCAGCCAAGTACAAGTCACACATGACTTCTCGTTATTTTAGACGTCAAACACTGACAAATAGATTTTGATTTTACATCTTTGATATTTTTTATATTGTTTGAATTATGGAGAGGGTCAAACAATTTTTAAGGTTCTTAGTTCAGATTCAAGAGTGATTCTGTACCATTTTGAGACAAACTGGAAATATTTTAATAATGACTGACTCTGGGCAGTAGCTTAGCAAATTGTAAGACCAAACTAATGTCTTGCAGAGGTCTGTGCTTACACTTCTTGTCACACTTATTCACATTAAATCTTTCTTTAGCTCATCGTTTTCCTGTATATGCAAGTACAGTGCAGCATCAGTGGCTGCAGCCCGCTGTTAGCCTATGTGCGTATGAGAATGAATGTGTGTGTGTGAATGGAGGCTGGCCTGTGTTGATGGAGCTGGTGAGTGACGATTCAGAGGAAAGTCATAAAAAGAAAGAGGGCATGCCGAAGGGGTCAACAGGGATCAGTTTCACCCTGACGTCTGTGTTTTTTTTCTGCCACAACCTTTTTCTGGATCAGCGCTCCTCTGCTCTTCATTCATTAGATCCATGGGAGACAACAGCAGTGTCACAGGCAATTCAGGAAAAAGCCACAGAATATAGCATTTGGTCTCTGGTCTTAATTCTCTGTACCAGTTTAAATAGTGACACTTTGTTGATACTGCAATGAATCATTCTGAAAACAACAGTGTAGTCATTTAAGGTTTGATATAGTGTTATGTATTTATTAATATTAACCTTTCAGAATTGGTAGTGGCAAAGTACAGGATTGTATTGTGTTTATAATGAGAGGGATGTTTACATAGCGTACATTTGAGTCATAAATGTCATAGCTGCAGTGGGCTGAATGTGCCTCTAATGAATGTTCTGCAGTGATATGGATAATGAAGCCCGCAGAGGCAGTGTTCAGACTGACAGCTCACCTCAGACCTGCTCTGGGTTTACTGTGGGTGCACCAAAGCTCTATATGAGAAAGAGGGGCCTCTCTGCACCGGCCAAGCCCCCTGCGCTCCCCTCACAGTGGGGCACTGGCGAGCTGGCTCACCCCTCTCTGGGTGAGAAAACAAGCCTCCCTGTCTGCAGGAGAAAGGCCATGGGGGCAAAGTACTCAGAGTGAGAGAGGTCTGTAAAGGTGGGAACATTTTAAATTAGTGCAGCGCTGCCTCCATGCTGCGCTCTCTCTCTCTCTCTCCCACACTCGTACACATATACTCCTCAAATACTGTATAACGCACGTATAACCCGGTGACTGTGTTCGCCCGGGCTTTTACTGCTCCCTGGCTGCACTGTCACTCTCACCCAGGACCGGCCTGTTAATGAGAGATACTGTGAAACGCACGGTTACCTTTCCCTCCTGCCTCTAACGGCCCTCCAGGGCCTCTTAGCACAGAGCCAATCTGCAGCTTTTATTTCCCACTGTAGATCCAGATCCTGCTCTGGTCGTTCCATGTGATTGGTGGCTTTATGGTGTTTTCCTTGATAGATTTTGAAGACTCGTTTGCTGTTTTATTTCCAGTAAGGAGAAATATGACATTCACTGCACTTTTCATTGAATCATAAAATTAAGTAATCCAGTTGATCCGTCACCAATTAACACTAGACGCATCTGGCATAGACTAAAACCACTTTTACATTTTTTTTCTTTTTTTCATTAGTGATATATTATGTTGAAACAGTTGCAATGGCAACACAGCCTAGTTAATTTTTATTTCTGGTGTAGAGTGTCATACGGGCCGCTGTGGCCCACACAGACTGATGTGGTATTTGATCATTGGCCTGGCCACTGATGCAGCAGTTCTGTCATGCTCCTCGACATAACTCCATCACGTTTCTAGGCGAGAGCGCTCATGTGTTTTGGACTCAGTACAGAGGGAAAGTGAAGGCTTCAAAGCCACCCTGTCAATCTGACTTCTCCAAAGCTGTGTCTGCTCCTACCCACTACCCACTATCCCAACACAGCCTCCGCACACCCACAGGGCCTGAGCACACCCACAATATAGCATTACTGTTTAGTGACAAATGAAGGAGCAGAAGAGGCAGCACCTGCTCTGTCACTTCTCAGACCCACATTATATCACAGTGAATCAGAGCAGTTTCTGTGGACAAGTTTATTACTAAAGAAAATGCTGAAACGACAGAGATTTGATATTGTACTTTATCACAGTCATTCACCAAGTGTGGTTTGGACGTGTTACACCAAATGTGGGAAATCATGAGGATCACCTAATTTATCACAACCAGACATAACTAAATGATACTTCAGCTGCCTACCAGCTCTTTGACTGCATGGTCTGCTCACTGTTGCACACAGTTGTACTTTCCTTCGCTCTCTGCAGCTCTGTCTATAGCTCCGTCTGTAGCTCGTGTGAATTGACTCGGACCAGCATACACTCCTCTGTACCTGTGCTTTGTTTGGCGCCGCTGTTTGAATTCCTTGACTGTTCAAGCACAGATTGCGGATTGGAATGAAGTGGGTTCGAAGAAGTCCCCCTTTGTTGCCCACATCCTGTTTGACCCTCAGGTAATCACAGCTCACCCCCTCCCTCTTCCTCTGGGCCACGGTGGGAACGGACCAGGATGTTGTTGGGGGTCACAGAGTGGGGTGGGGGGCAGAAGGAGTGACAGGTCTGTCTGTGGAGTGGCACTATTGAGAACCTGCGAACCATGGATGAGTCCTGTTCACATGGCCACTGCCTGTAGGCCCACCAGGAATGCCGCGCTGATGGCTGTTATCGGCTTTAGCAAACCCACCCCCCGCAGCAAGCAAGCTCACCTGAGACACTGGGGCTTTCTGTGGATATTTTAGGGTTTTTGGACACCCCTTTAGTTATTATTGTGGACTTGGTCTGTAGTTATGTAATTAGACAGAGTTATGTTGTTATTGCATATAATATATGACATTTTGGATATGCCATTTTATCATTTAAAAGAATTTTTTTATGAATGGAAAAATAAATTCAGTGACCTCCTTCACTTTCATTTTGCACCAAAAAAATGTATTTTATTTAGTTGTACTTTGTGCCGGTCCTGTTCCTGAAAAAACTGAATGTGCATAGCAAATTATTGTTTGGAAAAAATGTATATCATACCATGAGGCAAGTAATTATACCAAAATACAAATTAGTCTGCTATGGTTATTTATTTATTTTTTATCGAAATATTTGTCAGATTGAGCGAAATCAAAACACCAGATTTCCCCCAAAACAAACTAAACATTCAAAGTGTATTTACAGCTAAGTTGGTTGGACATTGTGGTTGCTGTGTTTTGCCCAACACGTCCTCTGTAGTCCTCTGCAGTTTTGGCTCTCTCTCTGGCCAACAGGAAGAGTTCGACCGTCACTACTGATTGCTTAATGACAGATGCCACGGAACAACAGGGAACAAAGAGAGTTTTGATAGCTTCCTCCGCAGTGAAGACAGCCATCCAGGGGGCAGATAAAAGGGTGGAACTCATCCCAAAAAGGGACGTGTGCTGTCTTCGCTTGTTGTGCATTTGTTTCTGTCTTTCCCACAGAGATAAGCACTGTTTGGTAACTTAATAAAGCCCGACCCGCCAAAAAATTGCTGATGAATTTAACAGAAAGACATAATGTTTGCATAAGGAGTAATTGTGATGGCTTCTGGTGGAGGGTCTTCACTGCTGAGTACAGTAGGAACATCTGGTGCGAGTTAGCGGTGATTGTAGGTTTTAGAGGGACCACTGTTTGCTTGGTGAAACGGGGGATTTCAATGGAAAAGAGATGCACGGAGAAATTCTCAGACTGGCCCACAATGTCCCTCCATTTTGAAGGCTTGTCATTCTTAACTTGAGGCATCTTGTTGAGTGGTTGTGCTGTGATGGGGAGTGGTAGTGTGACTTGAACATTCTCCGTCCTGACTGTGGTGTTTACGAGCTCTTCAGAAGTGGCTCCTAATGAGTGGGTGTAAGGGTTACTCTTTGACATTAGCACAAGCTACGTTCTTCGCTAGTCATTCAAGTGAACCTGTGTTAATACTAGCTACAATGGCAAGTTACAATATATGACATTTTCTTCTTGTTGAATTAAGTCTGTATGTTCATAATATGTCCATGCATTAAGTCATTTTAAAATGTAACCACATTTTTTCATGGATGTTGAAAACATAATTTATTTAGAGTAGATAAATCCAAATGACTTTCTTTCTCCAGTCTAGATGTGACTTTAAGAGAATAAATTGTGACAAACCTTTGTAAATATAAATGTTACTAACACTTTTGAATGAACTGGCAAAATATTCTAATTGCTCAAACTAAATTAAATATGTGTAAATAATGAATGATTGTTATAATCCTTTTATTATAATTATATAATTATATGCTTTATTGTGCTCCACTTGTAATTACAGCGCCCTCAAATCAGCATGTAGGCTTTTGACGCTGAGAGTACAAGCAGACAGCGTACAATTAGACAATGATCTGGCAATGAGTGCAAGTGAAAGAGGTGACAGGAGCTTTAGCCGTAGGTAATTACTGGATAATAGAAGCATTCCAGTCACTTGCACCAGAATGGCCCCCTGTGAATGGAGTCTTTATGAGGCGTTTAACCCACGGCACTGTTTTTGTTTTCCTAAACAAACAGACATGCTTCCACTACTTAAAGAATTAACCACATCAATGGTTTTGTGGCTTGGAAATCAGCGGCGAACATAAAATACCCATAAGTCTGTTGGCAGTGACTGTTGAAGCTGGGACAAATTGGTGCTTTCTGCAGTGATTAAAGATGCACTGCGGGTGTGTGGAAACAGATAGTGGGTGCTCTGTGCATCCAATTGGCTGATCATCTTCATGTGCAGTCAGTGCTGTGCCCGCCATCTCCCACCCCCAGAATCTGGGTGTCGGAGCCCCAGAGAGGAGGAAGGGTTCACAGGGTCAAAGTCTTTTCCTCTTTGGATCTCAGGGCTTGCTGGGAGAGGCTTGCTGAGAGAATGGCTGCATTAGAGCAGAGGTTGGGGGTCAAGATTTTAATTCTGTTAAAGAACAGCTGGTTTGAGTTTCCCCACACATCGCCGTGTCCCCCCGCCCTCGCCCCACAAATCCAGGGAGATGAAAAATTTGTTCAGAGGGGAACTAGTAAAATAAAAAAGGTTTACGGTCCAAAGCCCTTACCCTTACCCTGCCGTAGCATTAGAGAGGAATGCAATAACGTCAGCATTTGGCCCCAGTTAGATTGGACTTAAAACAAGGAAGTGCTTTCTGTGTTTGGCCATCTTAACAGCCGGATGAAACTTAATTAAAAAGATTCCCAAATCAAGTGGGATTTTTCATACTTCCACTCGAGGAATTCTTTTCGTTCCAGCTCTGTGGAATATTGTTATTTCTTGCATAACTTTAAACACTTAACATCCAGCAGTTGCAACGCCAAACATAAAACATTCCAGATGAGTTTTTCTAAATTAAGTTGACATCTTATTGATTTAAAAGCCATTCAAACATAATATTATTATTGTTCAGGATTGACTAAAATATTTTTTGTTAAATGTGTTGATCCCAAAGCCAATGCCGGACTGACTCAGATTCAGAGGAAATGAGAAAAAGAAGGGAGAGAGAGGCACTGGAGTACTCCTATAAATGGAAAACTAATAACAGATTTTTTCGCCTGCCCTCCCCTGCACTGCTCGGACTGGCGCTCTAGCCCCAGGGCTGAGTTGGTGTGTGGCGCGGCAGCAATCAGAGGTCATAATTTCATTGGCGGTTAGCATCAGGTTCAATTTTTCTAGTAGGTTACATTTAGCAGAAAGTCTGGATTGTGTTACGGTGGAGCAGTGGAGCTGCAAGAATGCCTTTACCTTTCCAAGAAACATCCAGGAGAGAGGAATACATATGTTTAGAGACACACACATACACACACACAAGTATACAAGGTACTGGCAATGTTGCAGCCACAGTTTAACATCGATTTGACTTTATTCACTAAAAACATTTAAGATATTTTACCATTTGATCAAATACAGCATCAAATTTTACTTTTCATTTTTGCATGGTAGAGTCTTCATAGTAGTCATGGTACTCCTTACATTTGGACCAAGTATCTGAATTTGTTCATAGTGTTAGTTTATATTAGTGGAAATTATATGAAAGCATGATTTCAGACTTGTGAAGTGACTTGTGTCAAACATATATGTATTTAATCACTCTTGGCAGTTTGGACTTCACAGAAAGTAATAGAAAAAGTATGGATCTTAGGCGACCTCAGTGCTGCTATGTAATGTGGGCATAAGTGTGAAAGTGTACTGGTGGGGACATGGCTTTAGGCTAATGGGGTGAAAATACAGAGTCAAGGAAAAGGGTATTAAGATGGAGGATTCCTGCCAAAGCCAATTTTCTTAAATAAATGTTTCTTTTAGTGAAAGCTAACCTTGAGCACATGGCGAGTGTTGCTTTGACCAAAAATAAACCCCCTCAAATCATTAACAGTTTTGAAAAATGTCTTTCAGGAATGTGACCAGGTTCATATCGACGACGTATCTTCAGACGACAATGGACAAGATCTGAGGTATGGCACAAGCACAGTGAAAGTTTTTGTAAAATTATCACGCAAACGTTAACAAGCTAACATATTCGTCTCATTTATTCATGTAGTACGTACAACTTTAGCGCTGATGGCTTCCAAGCAGCCGCTACCAGTGCCAACTTGTGTCTGGCCACAGGGGTCCGAGGAGGAGTAGACTGGATGAGAAAACTTGCCTTTCGCTACAGACGAGTAAAAGAAATCTACACCACCTACAAAAATAACGTTGGAGGTAATCCCCAACAAGCCCCAAGCTCTGTACACACGTGTGCTCGCCCAAATGACTTAGCAGATGTCTCATTGTGTGGGCACATGGTCAGGGCACCATTTTGAACCATTTGCAGTGGTATTCGACGAGTCTGGTCCAAGCTAAACAATGTTTACCGCGTTTGCAGGTCTGCTGGGCCCGGCCAAGAGGGAAGCCTGGTTGCAATTGCGAGCAGAAATTGAAGCCTTGACGGACTCCTGGTTAACACTGGCACTGAAAGCACTAACATTAATCCACTCAAGGTAGGACTTCAGTGAGGAAAGTTGTACTAGAGCCCATGCCACACATACACAGCAAACACACACAAGCTGTAAATATAAAGATAATATTTAGAAATAAGCCCTTATAATCAGAACCAGAACTCAATGACTGCTGGCACAATGTTAAAAGTCAAACAGAACATGAAAACATGGATCTCAAAACCAAATAGCTTATTTTCATTTGAATCAGCAACATGTCAATAATTATTTGATTCACAGTTTGCATTTTGTGAAGGTACTCTATTGTTTTTTGACAAAATGGTGAGGACATTATAGCTGTACCTTTGTACCTTACAAGGGACAATCTGTATGTGAACTCACTTCAAGTAGATTGAAGCATAAACTAATTCTCAGTATTAACAGAACTATTTTCTTTTGTGTACATTTCAACACTATCCCAATAGTGTCCAGAATTGGCCTTTTAGATCTTGTACACTTGCATATATCTGATCTTTAATTGGATGATCTTTAGCCGCTTGTCTACAGCTGATATGTTGTCCTTATTTTTTTGTTTTCATATGTCCTCCCTTTAAGTGCATGTATGATGTCATGTTTCTCTCCCTTTGGCCCTCAGGTCGAACTGTGTCAACATCTTAGTGACCACCACACAACTCATCCCTGCTCTGGCCAAGGTCCTGCTCTACGGCCTGGGCATAGTGTTTCCTATCGAGAATATTTATAGCGCAACCAAAATAGGTAAAGTCTCCTACCAATCTGATTCCCCTGCACACAGTTCTTTGCTTTTGTAATGTCTAGTCTGGTCAGTACTCATTTAGAGTCCGAGGTGTGTGTGTTTGGGTGGGAGCAGCTGTCACTGGAGAGGCTTGATGTTCTTCTAATCAGCCTGGGATTATTTTCCTGGAGCTTGGGCCTCTGCGCTGCTCAGGCTCTGCATATGAAACCACTTCTGTACATTTATGTCATTCCGCGCAAAAAGCCCCTCACCCCCCCTCCTCCAACGTCTTCCTCTTCTTCACTGTTTCAAATGCAAAATAAACATGAAGCTTCAGACCTGCCATTTTCAGGACGTAGAACACTATGTAGTCACTTAAGTTGTGGATTTGAGGAGGAAAAACCTGCACAAACATGCCTTATTTTACACATAAATGTTTTAAGAGGCTTGTCATGAAGTGAGACTCATTTACTAATTGGGTGTGTAGGGTTAGGGTTGATTATGGAAAAAAACGTACCATATTTGTTACATGTTATTCAATGTATTATTCATAAAATGTGCTATTTGACTGATCAGTTCTTTGGGATTTTCAGGGAAGGAGAGCTGTTTTGAGAGAGTCATCCAGCGGTTTGGGAGGAAAGTTGTTTACATTGTTGTCGGGGACGGTGTGGAAGAGGAGCAAGGCTCAAAAAAGGTAATTCTAGCTCAGTAGATACAGTATACACCAATGAAGCATTTCTTGTCAGTTTCAATACTCAAGATCAAACATGTTTCTATTGGACACAAAACAAGCTGGCAACCATTATAGTATTCTTTCTGGTTGATCATTTTCACTTTATTTCGCATGTAATCTGTGCAGGGGAGAGATGGCATAATTACTGTATACAATATTCCAACTTGGAGTTATGAGTAGTGAAGATTCTGTAATTCTAGCCTGACCCACACTGTAAATATGTCATGCAAAAAACAGGCTTAAATTGTTCTTGAACAAATTACTCACCACAAATGAAATAACGTATTCCATTATGTTACAATACAACTTTTTGATTGAATACATTAGGTTGTGCTGTGGAAGTTCTTTATTCAAACACAGTCAGTGTACTGGTATATGCAAACCACACAATATATTCATAATCAAATCACACTGATAACTGTTCTCTTTAAACCTCTGTAGTGAATAAGATGATGGTACTAATGTTTGATAGTTGCGTTTTGAGTAAATACTTCTTCAACTAGTTAGCCTTCATTTGAAATGTAATATGGAGTACTCTTTATTATTCTACCCACCTCTTGTTAAAACTAAGCTTAGTGGCTCACCTTTCCCCTGGATAGATGCCTAAGATGCTATGTTGCTGTGAAAGGCAAACACTCCCTGCGATCTCCGTCTTCAGGGATGACTGTGGAAAAAAGATGCAAATATTTGTGCTCAGGCTGGACTTGTTGGAGTGAGACATTGATGGAAGGAAAAGACGTGTTTTTAGGGCTGCTCTGAGTGCTGCGACTCCCGAGACGCAGCGTGCGGTAAAAGGTTTCTGTGTCAACATCACAGAGGACATGGAATAACACAACAATCTGAGCCGTCAGGAGCGCGATATGGGACATGACAGTGTGCAACTACAAAAGAGTCCCTAGCTCCACTCCTCCCAATCCAGTCACTATCCTGCTCTTGGTTATTAGCATGGCTGGAGCCCACAGATAACATCTCTAGCTTTTAAACTTAAAAGCAAAGACAATTTACAAAACAAAAAGCAAAGAGCTCTGTAAGGGTCAGTGCAGGCTCTCCTAAGCGGAACATGTGGCTGTCGCAGTGATAAAGGCAGGTAATGGGCTCCACACTGAGGGGACTCCACCTGACAGCCCCTCGCATTCACATGGATCAGGTTTCCTCTGCACTCTGCTCGGGAACAACAAGAGACCAGCTCTCAGAGTGTACTCTGTTACTGGGGTAGTCTGCTGACAGATCTATGTTGTACGCATGAATATTCCAGTGTGAAATCTTTTTTTTTATAATTCACAAACATGGCTACTTTACTTTTGACTCTATTTTAATTGATTTACTTTTATATTATGTGTTCAAAATGATTATAGACTGAGTAGTAGATTTTATTTTCATTATTATTTTTCTATTAATTATTTTCATTATTGTTAAGGTAAAATGCTCAGACTTTTCTGACATGTTCTTTGTGTCCTCACAGCACAACATGCCGTTCTGGAGGATCTCCAGTCATTCAGACCTCATGGCTCTGCACCACGCGTTGGACCTGGAGTATTTGTAGCAGTGCACCAGGCTGCCTCGGGCCGGCTTCCCTGCACCCGCCACTTGTGCCCGGTGCTGGTAGCGTCTCAGTGAGGAGAGGAGGAACAGAGGCTAATGTGCTGACACTGTCACACTCGGTCTTAACTCCGAACGTTGAGTTTTTGAAGAGAGAGGTGAATTTACGGCAGTGCAGCTGCTTGCCCTGGTTACTGTGAACGGGCCGCTCTCTGAAGCTGTCACGGTGTTTTACGGCGTGCTCTGGTGCCGGGACACAGTCAGAGTTCACACCTGTGAGGAGCTACTGACTCGCCTCGGCTAACCTCGGCACAGCACTCACTAAAGCACGCCACAACTACTGGCGGTGACGCCGTCTCCACGAAGCCCCAGCCCCTCCAGTCTGCTTCCTTTTTGGCCACCTGTCCCCTGTGTCGCCGAACAGACTCTGACGCTCCTCTTTTGCCCGGGACGTCCTGTAAATCTTATTTATGAACTGAAACTTAGAGTGGCTCTGAACCACTGAGAAGGTACCTCCATGACTGAAAGACTTGTGCCTTTTTCAAAATGATTTCCACCACAGAGGACATTTATGAAAAAAACTAAAGGGTTTTCTAATAATTTAAGAAAATGACTTTATTTACATTGCTGAGACAATCGTGTACAGAGGAAATCTTTTGTGTGAGTAAGTTTGTAATCACTGGACTATTCCTTCCTATATTCATTTAGGTATGTGCTCTTGAAGGTGACGATGCTTTTTCATGGGGGTTAAAACAGGCCACTGTGAAGCCTGGAAGGTTTTTGTTTATTAAATGTAGATACAACTTTTTGTGATAAAGCATTTTGTCAAGACCAAAAGCATGGATGTCAAGTGTCAATTGCCTTTTTTAATTTCTGCAATATTTCTGCTTTATTTATAGACTGTAGCACCACCACTATTTTTGGGTTCACATTTCTATGGGTTTTGTTATCGTCCTCTTCATAGCATCTCACCACTCACCAGCTTGCAGCCCTGGTCCCATATACTTCAAATGAATATCACATAGAAACATTTCCCTTTTAACAGCACATTAAAAACATAAAGCAGGCTTGAATAGGTTTTATTATCTTTTATACAAGCACTATACCAACACTTGTACAGCGAGTAGTCCTTTTGTATAATGTAGTGTAGTATTTCTATGTTGAAGATACATTCTGTGTCCCATTTTAAATAGCGCTTTTACATCTGTGGATGGGGACAAACATAATGGACAATGACAGAAAAGCCACTTCGTTTTGAGAGGTTTGTGAACATACGGTACATGTGCTAGCAACTGTGAATTTTCTTAAACAGAAACTTTCAAATCTTCCCTCCTTTTGCACATGATTACTGTTGGCCTTTCCCAATTGGCTCCCATCTCCAAAACTCCTCAGACAACTTGGGGGTACCTACGTATTGCTGCTAGATCAAGGTCATGCTAGACGTTTTATAGATTCATACAGCACATTTTTATGTTGCAATCTTAAGTGCAAACTGGAAATACTTTACATGGGCCTCATTGTGAAATGCAAGATTGTCGTGTCTGCAAAAATATGTGTACAGATGTTTTTTTGACATTATTATTTGATTGTGTTTAAATTAATAAAACTGATTTGTGAACTGTTACTGCACTTAAGCCTGTGAGTAATACATTGAAAAGCCATAACTATATCAAAATCAAAAGACTAGAAAACTTCCTGCGTCCTGTTTATATCCGCTAGATACTTTTCACTATCAAATGCTATAGTATTTTGTTTTAAATTGTAAATTGCTATGGCAAATTTTTCATTCCTTTTAAAGCCACGAATATTTCGATCAAATTAGCGCCTTGGTCATAGAGTTTGTTTGCATGTGTGACCAATCTGAAAGCCGCAAAATTCCAAGAATCCAAGGAAAAATCATTTTGCAGACCTGCCCAATCGCCACTATAAAATGTTTTATATCTTGCCTACATCAGAATTAATTAAAAAGCTCCTTGCGTTTAAGTTGACATTTGAGTTTTATGAACACACTGCATGTTTTATACACTCTCGGGGTTAATAAACTAGCCATTCTCAGTCGTATTAAGTCTGTGGAGTGCGGACTAGCTTGTATGCATAATTTACCAACTGCGACCCTCTCCAAACCATATAGCGATTCATTTCAATAACATATGAAAAATATTTATGAGGCTGGTTTTATTAGGTGGACACAGTATGTAACACTAGACTGGACTGGGGAAAAGTTTTAACCATGCTGGAGTATTGGAGGGAGTGAGGAATTTGAGAACAAAATTCTTAATATCTAGATCAATTTTGCTTTTCAATTTTGTGCACAGTGCAATGACTTCTCTTGATATTGTCCCAGGTTCAAGCAGCTGTCGACTGAGTAGTGTCTGAGGTTGGGTCCAGCTGAGAGGAGCAGAATAAAAGCGTTGTTCTTTTTGATAACTTTTCCTCCTGTTTCGGGGGCTGCCAGGCAAACCACATCGGGCCAGAGCAGACATGAGAAGAGAAAGTGGGTGTTGTGGCGGTCAGTAGGCTGATGGTTTGGCTGCACATACATAACATTAGAACAAAAATACAAAAAAATATGTCTGGTGGGCTTACACTTTGTCTCATAAATTTCCAGACAGGCAACGGGCTGTAAAACTATTGACAGGACAACTCATAATAAATTCGAATCATATCTGTCCCCCAGTATTCGCCTTTTTAGACCTGGGGCTGTTTTTACCAATACAAGTTGAATCTTCAAACAGCAAATTCAAATCAAAGGCAAAGGCTGTACTGTGAATTTTCAACCATTTTTTAAAATGTATAATATGTGTCTGTTGCTATGGGCACATGCACACACGCACATCAAAACCCAAAAGTAAACCTGGATTAGACCAGGACTAAACCAGATCTAAACAAGTCTGAACCAGCTGGGCTTAAATCAAGACGTAAATAAGAATTCATTCTGAATGTTTACTAAATGTTATAACAATAGACCCTTATGACACCATATTGGGAGAAGTGAAAATCTCATGTGCCAGTACAGTTTAGTGCCGAAGGGTTGTAACGATATTCAAATCTGTCAGTACGATAATTTCACAGTATAAAGCTCAGGGTATGATATTTATTGTGATATTTTCTGGAGACTAACAAAACTGTGAATATGTTACTTTTTCCTCTTAAAATGCCTTGACAGGACTTAATCCATAAATTTTAAAGTGCTTATAACAATTATTTCTTCATGCAGTCTGCACTGAAACAGAGAAAAGGATCATAGTCTTTGTAGTTAGTTTTTTTTTTTTTATTTAACCAAAGTTTAAGCGACTTGAAGATACACTATCACTATTTTGGTTATTGTTATATCCCTACCGTTTAGGGCAAAACAAAGTATTAAAATGTATTTGGAAAAAGTTCTTGTTGTTGCCAAAACAACAAAGTACTTTACTTTTTTTTTTTCCTGATCAGAACTTCTATTTGGGAAATGTCAAATATCAATTTCTTATTTGGAAATTACAATCAGAAGTATTCAGCCCAAGGCTATACTGCTTTCTTTATAATGCCAGTTTGAGTAAATAAATTGATTACTTTAGTACCATGATTATAGAGCCTGCAGTACTCCCATTTTGGAAACTTGTTCATTACGTTCGCTGGTTCTGTATTGGGACATTCCTCTGCAGGACGTCCCAGAAGAAAGCTCTGGCCCTCCATAAAACTGTACTGCAATAATAAACAAAGCCATCGCTGATTTACAGCCCTGCCCAGACAGTGATTTCATGCAGATTTCCATGGGGGGGGGGTTGTGACGGTGCATCTCAATTGAACATATATTGTATTACGTGCATATCAAACTCCCCCCAAAACCTGATCTGCCACGTCTGTCTTTACGAGCAGGAAGCCTATTAATAGTCCTGCTCTTGAGGACCAGGGTCTCAGGTTTGGGGAATTTGTCAAAGCTGGGCAGATGTTGGGAGATTGGGACATTAGGAGGGGGTTTACCTCTGAAGGAAAGCTACAAGAGAGAGGGTTCTGCTCAAACTAAGAACCGTAACATCATGGTATAAAGTAGTTCAAGTGTCACGGTTCTCAAGTGTAGTGATTCACAAAGTTCTTCTGGATCATTAAAAAAGATGTATTATTTATTTAATCTTACTTATTTATATGGATGAAAATGTAAAAAAAAAGAGGGAGAATTATGTTGTTGAAAGACATGATTTCATATTCTACACTTTGAGATAGAATTGCTTTCCATAGTCAGTTCTTTGGACATATCATTATTTCCACATGATTTAATATTTTGACTGTCAGCTAAATGTGTTATATCAACACTAACACGTCCATCAGATTAGTTTTTGGTTTAAATTTTTACAATAGTTTACTTCTACTTGAGAAATGATTTAACTTACTTTCTAGTTGTACTTCAGTAATTATACTCAGGTGTAATCTTTGTGTAAAAGAATTGAATATCTTCTGCTCTTTGACCTCTGATTTCACTCAAACTATTTGTCTTAGACCAAAATGAAGCCTCTGACTCTGATTGCACCTCCTACACGCTCCCTTGTGCCTTGTGCATCGGGCAGCCAGAGTGACAAATGAAATCCACTGCAATGTCAAGCGGCCATTCTAAACTAGGCCTTTTGTTGACTGTTTGTTTCTAGGTAACCGGGATCTGATGGGCACTGGAGGGCAGAGACAGCTGGGAATCAGGAAGTAGTGGATGCCAAAGCCAGGACAGCTCCACAGACAAGAGGCATTCCCCAAGAGAGACTGGACCAGGACAACGCTGTCACACACACTGTCGATACGCACTGGTGGGTTTCTGTGCTTTCTGAGGACATTACACTGACTTACATTCACGTAATCATAGTCAATACTTGCCTAACTTTGACCCAAACCCTAACCTTTAAGCCATCTGAACTTAAAATCATGTTTTCACCAGGCAGTTCCCCATGAATTAAGTGTGTGTTGTATACACTCAGTCAAACGTTCGGACGCACCCTTTCATTCAGAGTTTATTTCTGTATGCTTACTACTTTCCTCATTTGATATACATTCAGAAGACATCAAATATATGACGCTTGATGTATGAAATTATGCAGCAAAGAAAAAAAAAAGATAAAATATTTGCTTTGTCACTTTTTTACTTTGTCAAAAAATATTTTATGAAAAATATTTTATAAATAGTGAGATGTTTTGTGTATGCATCCAAAAAATAGAAACTAGTAAAAAGCGTGAGTCCAAACTTTTGCCTAGTCGTGGACGTACTTTAGTCCCCACAGTGTTATCCAAACCTGCCCAAAGGAAAGTGTTTTTGTTCTGAGGTTGCCTGGTGTTAGATGAGGTTGGACTAAAGGCCAAAGTACTTGTTTTGACATGCAGTGCTATATAAATGATATGTCTAGTAGCAGCAGTCTACAACTAGATTAACAAAGCATAAACAACAGATGATCTCATCCTTACATACTCCCTCATCCGAGCTCCTAGAGGATAAAAATACAGTGTTGATGTACAGTATTAGTGCAATGTGTAGTGATAGCCAGTGACTCCCTATAGGGCTAAAATACAGCCGTGGGACATGAGCAGGCACATAAAGGTGATTTTTATAGACAAAACACATGGGATTCTGCAGGATCTAGACATAGCTCCCCGGTTGCTACACGGACACTAATTGCTCATAATATACTTCAGAGGTTTTAAATATTTGCTGGATATGTTGCTACAAATATATTTCAGGCTGTTTTAAATGTCCCGAGTTGCGACATGGTGGATGAACTCTTGATTCATAGCAAGAAAGTTCCAGGCACTCGATTTGATTTCCTCATAAACTGAATAATGTAATCCTGACCAAGATTAGCTCTACTGTTGACCTGGAGACGGGTCATACTGCTCTTAACTGTGGCCTTAAAGATGGATCAAATGCGGTGGACACATTTTCCTACTGGGAGAATAAAGTAGGATTTTTAATTTTTAGGACTTTTTGTTGCAGTTTTCTTTCTGCTATTTTTCCTTAAATAGTAAAACACGTTAAAATGTGTCTTAAATATGTCAAAACAAGTCAAATCTATCAACTAATGACCAGAGGTGGGACCAAGTCATTGTTTTGCAAGTCTCAAGTAAGTCCCAAGTCTTCGACCTCAAGTCCAAGTCAAGTCCCAAGTCAAATACAGCCAAGTCGAGTCTTGAGTCACTGGCCCATAAGTCCAAGTCAAGTCCAAGTCGTCTGCTTTGAGCTTCAAGTCATTTCAATTCTTTAAAACAAAGTACCAAATATATCTTAGATTTTTGCAATTTATGTGACTTTTAAACTAAATTGTGCTTAAAGGTCAAAGTATATTTATTTAAGAGTATTTACAGAGTATACAAGAGTTGTGGAAATTAATTTAGTTCATTCTTACTTTTTAAATGTCTTGACAAGATCTTAGTGTGAATCATTATGGTTAGAACAGAAATAATTCAGATTTAAATGTGCTTCTCAAGTCTTCTCAAGTCTTCTCAAGTCACAGGCCTCAATTCCAAGTCGAGTCCCAAGTCTTAGTCCATTTTATCAAGTCTCAAGTCCTAAAAACAGTGACTCAAATCTTATTCGAG